TTGAGCTAAGTTTTTTAGCTCAAAAAAGTGAGTTGGCTTTTGTCATTTGACTTTTATCTTTATAATTTTGTTGTGTATTTCTCTATTCTGTATTTAAAGGTACATACAGATTTATCAATACCTCAATAAGTGAACATTACTGTTAAAGGTATACCCTTCCATTTTTTTGGATTTTTGCTATATCTATCAGTTTCACAAAAGCGCTTCACAGATATCCCCTTTTTCATTTACATTCTTGTTTAAAAGATAACCACGGTGATATGGCAGCTATTTTAACATAGAGATTACAAAATATCTACTACTCAAATAGCGCTAGTACTCTCTTATTAATATTTTTACATAATTAAGTCATTTTATTAATTAAAATTTGCGGGACCTGCCTGATAATCCAGGGAGAAAGTACAGAGAATTTAATTTGCTAGCACTATATTTAACCCTGTAGCTTTCCAAGACACTATAAACCCTGTACATCGGGGGTACTGTTTTACTTGGGAGACTTCGCTGAACACAAATATTAGTGTTTCAAAACAGGAAACTGTATTACAACGATGATATCATTAGTGAAAGTGAAATTTTTTGCATTTTTCACACACAAACGGCACTTACACTGACGATATAATTGTTGTGATACGTTTTATGTGTTTTGAACCACTAATATTTGTGTTCAGTGAAATCTCCGGAGTAAAACTGTACCCCTCATGGACATGTCTTATGGTGTTTTCAAAAGTCACAGCGTCAAATATAAGGCTTGTGTTTCAGTTTTTTCACATTGAAATTCGCCAGATTGGTTACCTTGCCTTTGAGACCTTTATGGTAGCCCAGGAATGAGAATTACCCCTATGATGGCATACCATTTGCAAAAGTAGACAACCCAAGGTATTGTAAATGGGGTATGTCCAGTCTTTTTTAGTAGCCACTTAGTCACAAACACTGGCCAAAATTGGCGTTCAAATTAGTTTTTTGCATTTTTCACACACAAACAAATATTAACGCTAACTTTGGCCAGTGTTTGTGACCAAGTGGCTAGTAAAAAAGACTGGACATACCCCATTTGCAATACCTTGGGTTGTCTACTATTGCAAATGGTATGCCAACATGGGGGTAATTCTCATGGGCAACCATACGGTCTCAAAGGCAACTTAACCAATCTGGCAAATTCAATGTGAAAAAACTGAAAAATGTAACATGCTATATTTGACCCCGTAACTTCCCAAAACACCATAAAACCTGTACATAGGGGGGTACTGTTTTACATGTGAGACATCGCTGAATACAAACACGTGTATTTTATTGCAGTAAAAGCAAACAGTATTATGACATTCACAGTTAAAATGTCATGCAGAACTAAAAAAAATTACATTTAATGTCTCACTTTTTTTTATATTCTATTCATATTAAATTATGTTTCATAGCTAAATATTTGATATTAAATGAAAGCCCTATTTCTCCTGAATAAAATGATATATAATAAGTGTGGGTGCACTTAATATGAAAGAGGTGAATTACGGCTGAACAGACATATAGTCAAATTCCAAGTTTTGTTTAAGTTTTATTTTGATGAAAACGTGTACATTTGGCTCAGTCCTTAAGGGGTTAATGCCGTTATGGCGTACTGACTCGCTTGCAGTTGTAGTGTAAGCAAGGTTAAATCCCTGTTCACACTAAGGAAGTCCCAGGTATCAATGTAGTGCTGGAAGTCTGCACTGAACAGAGCCCTTTGCCCCTTTCTAGGCTGCAGAATTTTTAAGGAAGACCCCACCCCTCTCCAATTAATCCTGGCAGGGTCTCCCTGCTTTTCCCTATGCCAATTGCGATCGGTGTTGGGCTTTGCCAGCTACCTAGCACTGATCATGGTGTAAAAGAGTGGGAAGCAAGCTCCATTCGTAATTACATAGAATGTAATTATGAATGGAGCCAGTAGATAGCAGTCACAGACCACTAATGTTTTAACTAGGAAGCCCATCTTCTAATGTTAGCGGAATGTTTTCTTACGGTTAGTGGAGGGGTTAGGTTTAGGGATAAGGTTAGTGTTAGGGTAGGGTTAGTGCTAGTATACAGTAAGGGTTAATGCTGGGTTTGGGTTAAAACTGTTTTAGGTGTAGGTGGGTTAAGGTAAGGTTGGGATAGGTATACGGTTAGTGTTAGTGTACGTTTAGGGTTAGGGTTGGCATAATGTTAGGTGGTGGAAATTGTTAAAGGGTTAACTGGCAAAAAATGTTTTACATCCTAGACATATCAATTATTTAACAGCCAGGACCGATAGAGGAATCTATTTTAAATATTTAGGTTGAATATATTTGGTTGAACTGGATGTGTTAAAATGTATTATATACAAAAATGAGAAAAAAATAATTTTTTTTCTTTTTTTAAACCCCTTCTGTCCTTTAAAAAACAATATATAACATGCATGGGGACACTTAAAAAAAGAAATCCTTAAATTATGGTGGAGCAAACACATAGCACACATTCTAGGTTTTTGGTTTGGTACAGAACTTGGACAATTGCCTCTGTCCTTAAATGGATGGCTGAAGCTCCTAGAAAAGAGGACATTCGGATCATAGGCGTGCGCAGTTTATTGTATAAGGGTGTGCACCCTAAAGCAGAAACACACACGCCGCATATATATATATATATATATATATATATACACATACATACACACACACACTGCTGTGTGTGTGAGGGTGCTGTGTGTGACGGTGCTGTGTGTGTAAGGGTGCTGTTAGTGTGTGCTGTGTGTGTGTATGTGTAAGGGTGCTGTTAGTGTGTGTGTGTGTGAGGGTGCTGTGTGTATAAGGGTGCTGTAAGTGTGTGTTTTGTGTGTGTGGGTGAGGGTGCTGTGTGTGTAAGGGTGCTGTTAGTGTGTGCTGTGTGTGTGAGGATGCTGTGTGTAAGGGTGCTGTTAGTGTGTGCTGTGTGTGTAAGGGTGCTGTGGGTGTGAGGGTGCTGTTAGTGTGTGTATGTGTAAGGGTGCTGTGTGTGTAAGGGTGCTGTTAGTGTGTGCTGTGTGTGTGAGAGTGCTGTGTGTGTGAGGGTACTGTGTGTAAGGGTGTTGTTAGTGTGTGTGTATGTGTAAGGGTGCTGTGTGTGTAAGGGTGTTGTTAGTGTGAGGGTGCTGTTAGTGTGTGTGTGTAAGGGTGTTGTTGGTGTGGGCTCTGTGTGTGGGTGCTGTGTGTAAGGGTGCTGTTAGTATGTGCTGTGTGTGTGTATGTGTGAGGGTACTGTGTGTGTAAGGGTGCTGTTAGTGTGTGTGTGTGTGTGTGTGTGTGCTGTATGTGTAAGGGTGATGTGTGTGTGTGTGCTGTATGTTTGTGTGCAATGTGTGGGGGTGTGGGGGCCGTTTAGTTAATATCCCCCCTCCCTTCTTACCTTATGTAGGGCGGGGGACCGTGCTCCTGCCTTCCCTGGTGGTCCAGTGGAGAGTGAACTCTAGCCCCCTGTGGCAAGAGCTCCCCGGGTCCTCTTTGATCTCCCTCACCTGCCCATGGAGGGAGACATATAGTGCGTGCCGCGGGGATTAGGGTGTGCCTAGGCACACCCGGCACACCCCGTGCACACGCCTATCATTAGGATAGAAAAAAGAGACAGAGGGATTTGAGCTCAAAATAGGGACTGTGCCTCCTGAATTGGACACTTGTTAGCTATACCAGCCAGAGCCAACACCTCTCTTACCTGCTACTGATAGACTGTACCTTATTCATCTGTTAGGTAATGACAGCCTGTGCTCCCTCGTATCTTACCTGCTGCTGTAACCTTTGCCAAACCATCTCTTTCTTGCTTCTCAAAAGTAAAAGCATTTCCTAGTATTGGGTGTGTGTATCATCCTAGGTTTCTTCCAAATCTTGTGATATCAACACAATATGAATAGGGCTGCAGCACCCATCATATACCAAAAAGAGGTTTTTTTCACCGACAAGTGTAAGCCGCAAAGTTTCAGTGATCACTGTAAAAGCTGATCACAGTACATTTGCTATATAATCTCTTTATTCCTGACCTCTTTTCACAAATATAGAGTTTTGTAAAAAGCCCTGTCAAAAAGGAAAAAAGCCAATCACAGTAATCAGATTGCTTTAGTTATCAGGTAAGGCACACCATTACTGTGATTGACTCCCAGTTTGATCACTTAGCCTGGGGGCCACTTAAACACTATTGCTGAACCGCTGCATTGTGCCTGGTGCCACAGTAACCAGATGACATGGCCAGCCTGGGAAGGCTATACATATTATGGTAACACAAAGCTAAAGCACAGCGCTTACAGCAGCAGTAGCTTAGTATCCAACAGCTTAAAATACAAAGTAAAAACAAAGAGAACGTTACCTGCACTCTGGCCCAAATCCCCATGTACATTTAAACAAAATGGAGGCTCTTTAGTTTTATTCCAATGGCCATTTGAATACATAAGCTCACCTGCCATGTCAAGGCAAGCCTCAATAGGTAAGTTCCCACACTAGCCATTAGAAATGCTGATATCAGCCAAGAATCTCCAGTAAGACAGGAAGGGGTGTTTTATAAACCGTTTCACATTTAACCCTTTATAGGGCTTCTACACATACAATAAACTTTGCTGGTATCAGACAAAGTAGAAGTAGAAAATTTGTTCAAGAACATGTCTCTGGTCTTTACGTTTAATGTCATGGAGGCTAATGTTTGTCATATAAGAGTATTGGGTTGGCACACATGCACCATTGGTCCACAATTCCTCTTAATGAGGAGTATCCGATTGTACCATAGATTATCAAGCAAGGATGGATTGGTTTGCAGAGAGGAGCCTGTTTCAGCACTTGAACAGAGGTGGGTTTAATGGATTTTCTTACATGTTTTTGTTCACTAAGAGATGGCTAAAACTAATAAGGAGCTCCCAGTGGAGGTTGATCTATAGGGGTAGGTGGGGCAGCTCCCCTCAGCTTTTACATAGTTACATGGGCTGAAAAAATACTTGTGTCCATCAAGTTCAGCCTTTCTCACATATGCTGTAGTTCAGGCTTCCTCAAACTCCGGCCCTCCAGATGTTGCTGAACTACAACTCCCATGATTCTATGACTGAAAGAGGCTGAGAATCATGGGAGTTGTAGTTCAGCAACATCTGGAGGGCCGAAGTTTGGGGAAGCCTGCTGTAGTTGATCCACAATCAGGAAAATACCCCAGTTTGAAGTTATTTTCTGCTGATAATTCTCAGCCAATAACAGCCACCCAATGCTGGTGAAGCTGCTTCCTCATTAGACCAAGCCGAGTGGATGGACTGCTTTAAAACATTAAAACCGGTTTCATGCTGAATATAAGAGCATCACCAGGGTACTCCAGACACTATAACTAATTCAGTTGTTACAAAGTAGTTATGGGAACTACTGTGTTCCTTTAAGCACGTCTTTATCACTCAATATCAGATATTTTGATTGTAAAAATGTCATAAGAAATTGGTTATATACCATCATGTATCATTTTAAAACTGCTTGTACTTTGTGATGTACTTTTAACATTTCTTCTGCATTTTTTTAATATTCTTTATTATTTAAAAAAAATATTCCCAACTAACTTTGGGCACAGAATATATTCATACAGTTCAAAGAACATTTCTCTTTTCCAGCAGAGTAGTTGGAGCTACCCTTCAAGAGTGAAATATTAAGATCCCACTGAGCCCTTGACAGTTTACCAGAACCCCCCATTATTATACACATATAGGATGGTTAGCAAGGTGCCATGATGCTCGAGTTGTCTCCACAATGTATAACATTGCTGTTCACTCAGACAGCCACTAGAGGCGCTTCCGACAACATAATAGAGTAAAGCTCTGCTATTTTTATCATGTGGTCTCATAGAGACATTGAATTGGGAAAGCAGTGGTTTGGCTATGATCATCAATCTCGATAATCATATCCAAGGAGGTGGGTTCTACTGTGAACACAGCAGCATGGCTTGGAAAAATAAGTAAGTAAACTTCATATTACTTATGACATAATATGAGGACCTAAGCATTTAACAGGGCTCCATAATGTTTGTAATACACATTTGTGTATAATACTGCACTGCCCTTCAAACACATATTGGCTGCTGATATCACACAGGCTGTGCTGTTTCTTTATCCTGAAAGTTTGAGAATTGTGATGCAATTTATAAATGACTACCTCCACACTGAAACAATGACAGATCTTCATGTGGAAATTCCAGCAAAATGTGTTTCAAAGCAGCTCTGTCATGGCCAGAGCCACTTCTCATAGCCTCCACCTATCTTATTCCTTAGTGTACCCTCAGTGTGCTTAATATTACTCTTTACCCCTGCTGTAACCTCTGTTTATTTAATAAGTTCTCAGCCCTGGAACTTTTTTTAGTGCGCCGCCTTCTTCTAGGTACTGGCAGTGAAGACCAAACCTTGCCGATGTCTGCCCATACTGTCCACGCGTTCCAAGTAGCATGAAGGCAGAAGAGCTTGTACTGGGCATCCATAATATCTGGGGGATTCCAGAGAGAGACACGATGATCAGGTGAGCATTATGGGAATTGTGATAAAGTGAAGGCAGATAGGCCTTTTAACCCCAGGGGAAGAAAGTGTAGTTTGTGTGTTGCACAACACAAAACACTGTTTAGTTATGGGCCCCTGGGGTGGAGCATTTGGAGAGAAGGGTGGGCCAATGCTCCACTCCACAGTTTAGTGGTGTTCTGGGGAGACCTAGATCCAGGCCAGGGTTTTTGGACTGTCTCCAACCCACTGCTCAGCTGCAGGTAATCAGCTGTTGCAGTGGGAATAAACTCCTCCCTGCTAGGCAGGAAAAGGAGAGGGATTGCTGGCTTCCTCCCAGGAAGCAGGTAGGAGAGAGAGGCTGTTCTCTCCAGATAGTCAAGGTGACTAGGCACTTGGAGTGCAGAAAGGAAGCAGTCAGGGCAAGACTGGCTTGGAGCACTGGGAGTGCAGAAAGGAAAGCAGTCAGGGCAAGGCTGGCTTGGAGCACTGGGAGTGCAGAAAGCAAAGCAGTCAGGGCAAGGCTGGCTTGGAGCACTGGGAGTGCAGAAAGGAAAGCAACAGGTTAGATAGCAGAGCGTTGCTCTCTAATAAGGTTGGTGCAATATTGTGTTTAGTTTAACCCTGAGAGATAGGGAACTAATGTCAGTTAGTGCTCAGACGAGCTAGGTGTTTGTTTATAGGGTTTTCTGTTACTTTTGTTTTCATTTTACTGCCGTATCCTGTGTGGATTTACAAATAAAGTGCCGGAGTATATGCAATTACAAGGACTGTGCATGTTTTTACCCTAGAGGGCCGTGCTACCTGGTGACAAGGATCACAATATGGTGGAGAATGCGGGCAAAGTAGCACATTGAGGGTCTGTGGGTGTGCCAGTCATTCAGTAGTCTGCTTGAGGACTTTTATTTTTGCAGACCTGTTTAAAAAATAAGTAGCACTGCACCTTTAAGACTGTTACCTGCTTGGTGCTATAATGGAGGACCTGCTGAGAGCTGTGGTACAGGCAACGGCTAAACAACAAGGCACAAACAGTTTCCTGGCTGCACAGGTTAAGAACCTGAGGGACGCTCAGCAGGAGCATAGAGCTGCCCTTACTGAAGTTTTGCAGATTGCCCCCTGCAGGGAGCGTGAGGACAAGGGACCCTGTAACCAAGCTACTGACATCCTGCATGGGATGACAGAGGCAGTAGAAGAAGTCTTCAGCAAGCTGAAAAGCATGGAGGCAGCAAAGCGTGCTGTTGAGAAACACGCAGGAGAGAAAGAACAGGAATTAAAAGGCAAGAAGGATGAAATTGAGCCTGAAAGAAGTGATAAAATGGAAGAGGGTGAAAAGCCAGCTGGATCCTCAAAGGAACAAAAAGAAAAAAAGTTAGTAAAGAGTCCAGCAAAGCTGAAGGAAAAAGCGGAATTGCCAAGAGGCAGTGATGGCGACACTGATGACATGCGCCAAAGTAAGAAAGGTCAGAAGAATCAGAAAGGAGAAAAAAAGACTGTGGCTGAGGCCAGCAGTGTCAAGCCGGTTTGTGTAAAAAATGAAGCAGAAGCCCCTGATGTACACCCAAGTGAACAAGTCAAAGGCATGAAAAGCAGACTGACTTGGGGAGTCAGAGAAGACAACAGCAGAGGAGCTGAGGAAAATGGAGAGAAGCAAGGCACCCCAGTGGAGTATAACAATGTGGTGCACTGTTTAGTAGCTGAGGCTACCCAAGAATGTCGACCAGCTGTTGAACAGTTTGGCAGAGAAAAGCAAGGCCGAGAAGTAGTAGCAAAACAAAGTCAAAACAAGAAAGGCAAAGTAGCCGCTTCTGATCTAAACCAAGAGAGAGCGACTGTTACAGAACCAAGCGGTGGTAATAAGATTGGCACGTACGCACCTAATCCCAACCAAGGTGAAAGTGACATAGTAGATGACATTGGCTTAACAGAAATAAATATTTCAAAGACACCTGGTATAGCTACAAACACTTTGAAGGATTGTTCGGGAGCCGTAGAACTGAATCTGCTGGCAAAGACTACTGCTACAAGGCCTGGGCGCACTAACTACCTCGAACAGCTGCCATATTCGGGGAACACAGTTGTGGAATTAAAGGCGGGACTCGGACTGCCTGACCAGCTGTTTGATACCGGGGCTGTCATGATCCAGCGAGAGGCCATGACTGCGTCTCTGGACACCCCCAAGGGAACAGGGAGACTGCCAGACAGCCCAGAGGAAAGCATTTCTGACACTGAGAGGTGGCCACTCAAGGCCGAGCAAGTGGAGGATACCCCTGGGGAGGAAACCAGGCAAAGGAGAGATGAACTAAGCCAGGAGTCTGGCCCTCAGGTAGAACAGCGCTCCATGCCAAGCCAGGCCGAGCATGATAGGATGGAGCTGGGATCAAGGGCTGCATTCATGCAGGAGGAGGGTGCTCTAGACAGCCTCCTTGGCCAACCCCCTGAGGATATAGAGATGAGACCTGTAGCATTAACCGTAGAAAGCAATGAAGGTTCCCAGGGATTCACAGAACAGATGGAGGATGTTGTGAAGCCCTTCATGGAGGGACCGGTTCCAGTGAAGGATGAGCTGGTGACAGAACCAGGTCTTGAAGAGGTTGAGCATCCAGCAAATTCGTCTTATGAAACAACTGGACGTATAAGTGATATAGAAAAGTTAGTTACACGCAAAGCTTTTGTAAAGTTTGCGTTTGAAAGTAACTCGGACATTGAGAGACTATCAAACCAGAAGCTGCTGTGGATGTGGAAGCAGATGATGATTCAGAGGAACTTGGCTACTAAAGAGCCACACAGTACTGATCATCAGCCTAGATCTGCTAGCAACCAAATAAGCGGGGAAACTGGAAAGAAAGGACAAAATCTGATACTGAGTCTGGGACAATATAATGGTAGAACATACCCAAAAGTCCCATTACAGCTACGAGACCAGACTGAGAAACTCAGATGCTTCAACTGCCACATGCATGGACATATTACATATAACTGTCCTGAGAGTGAAGAGCCAATACAGTGTGACATAGGAATAAGGGCTCTGCATAGGATAGTATTGCCTTGCTTAAAGATGTGTATGGTGACTGGTGGTGTTACAGCACAGCTAAAAGTGGTGATGGTGGTAGGGAAGAGTGCACAAGCACTAATTAATTCAGGGAGTGAGGCTACTTTGAAAAGTGTTCTGCTCCAGCCAGAAAAATGTGATTTAAGACAAGTGTTTGATATTGTGGGTACACATGGTGACAACCGCACATACCCCATGGCAGAGGTAGAGTTTGCCACAGAGGTAGTAAAAGTTAAATGCCCTGTAGTACATGTAGCTCAAACACAAGAGCGTATAGGTAAGGCCAGGTTTCTGAGTACCTTGGACCTGGTCATAAGGTATTGGCAGGTTTCTCTGACAGAGACAGCAAAGGGAAGGACAGCGTTTTCTACTCCCAAGGGGTTATGGCAACATAAAGTACTGCCATTCAGGTGGCATAGTGCACCAGCCCCCTTTCAGCATATGAATAAGATACTTTGGCCCCACGGAGAGAATGCCGCTGCCTACCTTGGTGATGTGGCGATTCACAGAGTGGACTTGGAAGCACACCTGATGAAGGTCCAGTTAGTTGTGAATAATGTAAGGGCTGTTGGTCTGACCGCTAACA